CACACTGTCACACACAAGCTTCTATGCTCACACAAACACACACACACACACACACACACACACACACATTTACTCCTCTCCCTTTCTACCAGCAGCAAAGCTTGACTCTGTGACGTTACCTGTCAACAGACTCACCTGTAAATGCCCTCTGACCTCAGAGAGTCTGATAACTTTCATTGTTTGATTTTCACTCATAAAAACACCTTCTCCACGAAACAGGCAGAGGTGAGAGATTTATAATGATTGGTGATAAGAGATTATATTGACATAGCTGACAGTTCTGTTATCACCAGAGCCTCCTCCCACAGCAGGTAATGAGGACAATAACATGTAACTTACAAGAAATAATCCAAACTTTAGAAAGAATCATTTGTTTTCTATGTTAAGACTTCATATGAACCTGTTCTCTGTTCAGAGAGATGCTCTGTATGCTGATAAAAGACATTCACACTTCTCTTATGTGTGCTCTGTTGCCAAACTGGTTAACAACTTCAGGCACGTAGCCTCAATATTTATACTGTATCCTTTATTTCAAGTGAGAAAACTAACAAATTTGTGCGGATGCACCCAAAGCAGCTGACGAAAAGCTGCATTAATTGACTGTTGACATATCTGAATGAAAGCACAGTCAGCCAAAGGGTGCCGAGGGTAAATCAAGGGTTTCTTTACTTTTAGTGCAGTGTTTCTGCCTATGTTAGTGCGCAGCTCTTTATGCTTCATTCAAAAGGCTAAAATGCAGATGGCAGAGCCATCTGTGTAGAATCAAAACCATGCATTCAGACCTGAAGATCCCCATTAAACTGCATGCAAATACGTGGGAGGAGCCAGAGGAGGAGTAGAGGATGTAAAGAACCCCATGTTCAAAACAAACTGATTTACTTGAAGTTGAAGTCCTTTTCCAAAACAAATTCAGTAACACTTGAAATCGCACAAAAATGTCTGTAAACAAACCCAGAGGATTAGAAAACAAATGCAGGGAGCTGAATTCTTTTGGTAACTAAGAACGTGCTTTTAAAAATGAGATGTTTGATCAAGCTATTAAATATTTTTGTGAATGGCACCTTTAATTAAGATGCCGGATTCATCAGTGCGTATTTCAAAGAGGTTCCAGTTACTAAATAATAAGGTGACATTAATATTGAAGCTGCTGTATTACCCCCTGATAAAATTTAATTCAATAAAACACTAGAGAAAAAAAGTGTGGAGAGTAATTAATTTCTTTGGTCGCAAGGGCACCAATTCTTCCTTGATTTATATTATTATTATTATTATTAACATGTTTCCTTCATACAAAATGTCTAAAATTAAATGTCTGGCCTTGGCTGTGTGGAGGAATCCACATAGGTGTGAAAAGTACATGTTTGTTTTATGTTGTACTTCTGAACAAACAGGTTGGATTTGAGCCTTCATTTCAAGGCTTTAAAGGAAATAAAAACCCACACTGTACACACACACACACACACAAAGACACACACACACACACATACACAGAGCGTTGTGCACAGGGTCACAAACACAATTAAGTGCATACTTGAGCTTGTAAATTGGAACACTGAAGAGTGTGTATATATATATATATATATATATATATATACATATATACATACACACACACACACACACACACACACACACACACACACACTCTCTTCAGGTGGCTGAAGCGTTTTGCAATATATATGTGAGCATTTGCTTTTTCTTCTTAAATTTTTTTAGGTGTCAAAGCCTACCACTGCACATCTGTACACACCAGGTTACACGCAGCAACTGTACCAAATCTGACAACTCCTAACTGAAGTCAACAGATCATCATTACCAGCGGCAATATGGGAGTACTGCAATACCAGAAGCTAATAAAAACCCTCCAGCACCTGAAACACTGACAGCGTTGCGGCACATTCAGTAAGTTAGGAGCCTTCATCACAGCTTCTTTAGATGCTGTGATGAATGCTCCTAGTTAAAAGATTTAAAAGATGATAATGAAGATACTGTCTCTTTTGACTGAGTGAGGTTGATCCGCAGTTGCAGCTGAGCATCACTCAAAATGACACCAGATTGCTAACAAAACCTATCAAATATGGTGTTAAAAAATAAACTGTATACTAAGATACTGTATGTGAATTATTTTAGGAATGTTATGGCGCAACATGCCCCAAGAATACTCACAGCAGCAAAAGTTACTGCAGGAGCTACACAAGGAAGCAGCTCATATAACAATCAAAATGCACTCATCAATACACATTCCTCTCTTCTTCCTTGGAGCACCAATTGGTTCGGTGTAACCTACACCCTTGTATTGTCTCATTGCTCTCAACTATACAAGGAAAACACTTCTCTCTGTAGACAAATCACATTTTTCTCCGGTCTCTTAGACTCTACTAGCAGTCTCTACTTTTCCTTCAACAAGTTCTGTGCATCTAATCTAACTGCAACACGGTGTGGCCGAGTCTAAATCAAAAGAATAATAAGCTTAAACAGACACACAGTCACAAATTACTGAAATAAACGTATTCTGTGGAACAAAACGAGAGAAACGCCTAATATATTTGATAAAAGCAGATATACAGTGGTCAGTGTTTTTAATTATCTTTTGTCAAACAGCTGACCAAAACTGACTCTAACCTTACTTTGTGAAACCAAGAGAGCGAGATTAATTACATAATAAATGTATAGTTTATTGAATTGAGTAAATAACATGATGATCAATGCTCTAAGCAAAAGCTGCAGCTGTGATACTGTTAGTATGACTTCAGTCTGCTTTAATCCGATACAAGTCCATCCGGGAGCCCTCTTTTTAGTATCTGAATATGTAAAGAGCCATATGAATATGTAAATATGAATATGAGCTAATTCAGTGATGCATTGAGGCAGCTGTTGTGAGCTCCACATTTACAAGGAAACATGTGTTGGCCCTGCAGGCAGGTTAGGGTGACAAGACAGGTGAGAGGAGAGGGCAAGCGTCATCCATTATGTCTGGACAGTACCTATAGGCCTGTGACATCAGGCAACACACACACTCAGGAACTAAACTAAATTTGTACATAGGTTTAAAAAGTATGAAATTTGCTGGGGAGTTTTTGATAAATGAAATTATTCTAAACAAACACACAGATAAGCAAGTTCAAGGACTTTGTTATTCACGAGCAGCCTTAACACAGAAGCATTCACCATTTTCAGTTCTCAAAAGACTTTCTTATGATATAAATTATTAATCCTCCTCCTACACTATCATTTGAAATACATGCTGCCTCTGCACTGATTTCACTCCCAATAACACATGGAACATAATCCACAGTCCCTGAACAAGCAAGTGCAACTAAAAACTGTCCAGAAAACATTCAGCATTTAGATAATCTGTTGCTTTCAATTTATTGTAAATAAAGTAATAAAGCCATGGCGCACAAACAGGTGTATAAGCAGCCTAACGTCTGCTGATGGCTCCAATGCAATATTAAAGCATCATATGTTGGTTCAAAGGTCACTCTGCCTGCTGTTCATAATACCACATGGGACTGTTTCCATTTAGGATTCACTCCTCCACCTCAGCACAGACACAAACACACACGGAGCTGCTCAATTCTCCAATAATCTGATGTGAATTCAGAGTGAAATTAAACGCTCATGGCGCTCGAAGTGTACAAAGTAGTATTCGAGGAAGCTTACACTAAGCACATAAGCGAGCCCCATCTCTAGAAAGCTTTATCAATTGAATATGACATGGCAATGCATCAAAAAATACAAGAGAGTCTCTAAAGAAATTTAGTTTCTATTACAGATGTATGAGGTGCTGTGTAGCAGCACAGCCTCTCAGGACTTGACAGTGTTTTTAGATTACAATTGCATCTCAGCAGGGATCCCTACTGGCTCCTCTAACCTCGGACTGTTTAGTGCTTAAAAATAGCTAATGGTGATAAAAGACTACACTGATCTAAAGTGCTGGGGATGCAAAGGAGGACCAAATCTGTGAATGGCCCCCATACAGAAATACTCCATGCAGTATCCGAATAAAGAGCAGGCATGAGGAGCAGTGCAGACTTCGGTCTGCAAGGGGTATTTAAAAGTTGCATTGGCTTTTTAAAATGGCTTTATATTCAAAAGCACGAATGCATGCACTGACATGTGCTTTCAAGTAGAAATTAAACACAAGAGCCTAGCAAAAAGCATGTTGCAATTGTATCGTATTTAAAAACACACAAGTGATTTTTTGGGGGGGGGGGGGGGGGGACTTGCAATACACAGTAAGCATCAAGAATTACACGCGACCCCACACGTTCATGATAGAAGTCTGTTAAATATAACAGCTTCATATTTGTGGCACGAGGACTCGCCGTCGTATGAGTGGATGCTAAAAAGTTTACCACCGCTGTATGACTGCTGAATGGGACAAAACTTTTCCCTTCATCGCCAGGGTCTGTTCGCGCCCGGCTTTAACGTTACCCATCAAAAACACAGCGAATAGCCCGAGCGAGCTGCCTATTTCTTCTTATTTCTTAAACACGATACAATTCAACCATCCAGCACCCGAGTGTCCTAAAGTTTATAACAGAAGACCGAGCAGCCCGCCTGTGCAGGGACGTGCACATACATCCCCACAGGAACATGTTTTACCCGATATTACAAAGGAAAAAAAGCGCTTCTGCTATGCTCTCAATGCTGCAGAAAAGTGCTGCACGCTGAAACGTTGTTTTCACATAAAATGCATTGTTGCTCTCCAAACGCTTGTGCCAAGTTACAGAAGAAGAAGCGCACAGCAGTGACTATCCTGTGCCAAAACGCAAAAGTGCAAGCAAGAGGTAAAATTTAAAGGGAAAAAAAGTTTAAGAGACGCACCTCTATGGTGGTCGGATGGGAGGGGAAACCGCACGGAGGACCGCACTTTAGTACAGTACACTCCTTTTAAATTACAGTACCTAGTTTAGAAAGTTGGACTCCTCTCCTCTGCCCCCCTCGCCCGCACGATAAGCAGGTAAACTCTTACATATAGCGCATAATTCACTTACTTTTCTCTCGCTTGGCTATCGGAAGGGACGACAGCTCCTTTACCTTTGGCGTACATGCTGGATTCTGTTTTAAGACTTTTGCCCCACTCAACACCTGTCAAAGAAAGCAGCCAGGAAAACGCTCCATCTCCATAGCTACCCCTTTAGTGTTTTTACTCCCCCCCCCCTCCCTCCTCCTCCTCTCCTCTCCTCCTCCTCCCCCTCCTCCCCTCCTCCTTCTCTCTCCTCTCCCTCCCTCTCTTTCTCTTCTTTTTTTTTTTCTACATCTCCAACATTGGCCACAAATCAGGCACAGTTTCTATTGGGGGGACTTGAAACCGTCCTCTGCTGGATTTTTTTCCCCTCCTCAGCCGCTGTTCCGCAGGCCTGCTCTTCCTCCCTCCGCTGTGCAAACGGTGGGGGCTCCTTAAAGGGAAACACACACTTCTTGTTTACTGACCTCAGAAACATGAGGAGAGAAGGGGGGAAGATGGGGAAAGGCATGCCGGGTACAGGCTCTGCACTTAGACTGGCAATTTCCCTAAAAAGACATTCCAGGACTTTGACTCCACTTTCATTTTGGGACTATGACCCACACCAATGAGGACATTACTCTCATTACTCTCATTTTAGCATATTTGCACACAGTGTTAGGTAATTATTCTCCATATTTTGTTACATTTGTGATTTGGTCTTCATGTAACAAGTGTTGTTTTGTCATTATAACAAAATTATTATTGTACCGTAGGAGCTTATGAACTCAATGTTGCTATAGAGAGCCAAACTCCCTCCACTTCCGGTGGGCCACTTTGTAATCTTATTTCGGAAAAAAATGTGTATGTTAGTCAATGACGAGAGACAATAAATTTTTTGATGGCGTTTGAATAGAAATGTATGCATTACTATATGATGTTTGTCATTTTGAAAGATAAAAGTCAAGAAAGTAAAGTAACATTTAGTTTTGTGCGAAAACACTCCATGTACTACATCTCTCGTTTCACACATTAAACGTCACCAACATGGCCGTCACCTCTTTTTCCCAGAACAAGGGGGAAAGTATTGAAGTGGTACAAAACACACAGGCATGATGCTTCAATAATGTTAGCTTTATTAACGTTATCTTCGGTCATTGAGAGAAAAACTGTTGAAGTATAAGATCGAAAATTTTTGTACATAATTAAAAAGACCACAAACCCAAAAGTTGTATATGTAACATCATAACTTTTTCTCTCACTCATGCTAACATTACTGAAGCTAATGCCTGTCATAATGTAATCTTGCATGTGTGTTTTGTACTGGAATGAAACATGGCGAGACTTGACTACACTGAGCGGTTTCACACAAAACTAAATATTACTTTACTGTTTTACGACAAACTACGACTTTCTTGACGAACATAATTATCTTTTAAATTGACAAACATATCTATAATTTAGGGCACAATTGAAACGGCATAAATATTTTTGTTACCTCTCGCTGTACATATTTATTTCCGATATAAAAAATAGGCATAAATTAATTTGATCTTTACCCTATAGCAAGGTGGAAAGTAAAGTTAGAGTTCGGGATGGTAGATGGGTCTGACTTTGTGGGAGACTGGAGTTTGTGTCACATCACAGACCTTATTGTTTACTGTTTTAGTTAAGATAACTTAGCTTTAAGCAAGTTTCTTAAACTCAACCATACCTTAACAATAGATTGTTTGCCATTACCAAGATATTTCACTTACCTTAAGAATGCTGTAGTTGCCATACAAAGATACTGTAGAAATAAATAATCTTAAAAACATTGGCATTAATCTGGGGTTTTGCAGAATAGTAAAATAATAACATTCTTGTCTGGTAATATATTTTTATTTGCCTGAAACAGCCAGCTGTATCTAGCTAGAAATTATCCTGATCTGAAAACTTACCAAGAACTCCGGTTCTTTTTATTATTTTCTTCCAGACCTCTCTCCTTATCTTATCCCATCATGAGTAGATGCGTCATTACCATTACCTTAGCACTACCCAGACTATATATGTGTCTATTTGTGTGGAATCACACTTTTGAATTGACTTCACGTGAAATCATGGTGCCTCTGCAACCGGTTTTGCGTAAAGTCCTTACGCACACACCTTTCTGTTCAGTTTAACCGCTGTTCTAAATTAGCGTGCATTAAAGTACAGGTAGAAATAGCAACATTATTTCATTGTTTATAGTCAATACACATCATATAATATGGATAACACTTTAAACACAGCATCTGTTTTTGCCCAATTTAAGTATGATATTATACATTTAGAATAATACACCGCAAGGTGTCCTGATATAGAATATAACTGACTTGGTTGGGGGCAAACCAACTCCTTTGTATTGTGGCATGTTTCACATTATGGTATTCTTCGTTACGTGTTTCATTGCAGCATGGTTTCCATTACGGTGTTCTTTGCCTCTACCTCATCCATTATTTTGAAATATCAGGACAGCTTGTGTGTTTTTGCTTCATATTTCTCATACCACCAGTAAAAGGAGCAGGCATTTGAAACTGCTTGATAAATTTTTACAATATGCATCACTGGTGCGAATTTTGTCAGACTGGTATGAGGATTGGATTTAAAAGAAATAAGCTGGTCTTCTGAAGCCCTTATTGATTTTTATTTTATTGGTGGGTGTTTGCCTGATGATAATCACTGACTGAGTTCACAGTTTATGCACCATTTTATTCACAATTATTCAACTCTAACTGAGAAGTACAACCTACCACAGACAGCTCTGAGGTTTACTTCTTCTGCTTTCTAAACAGCAAAGGACACACGATCTTTTGTTATTCAGATTATTGAAAAATAAAAACTGAACGAGTTGGATGTGAATCCAGAGGCGATGAGTTAATTAAGGGCGTTCTTGGTTAACACAAGGGAGGCTTAAGCAGCAGTCTCCAGTGTCAAGTCATCCTCACTGTTCTGCATAGAGAACGATCAGCCCACAGTCGGAGCACAGCTATTGCTGTACATTTCACATCTTGAAGAAGGCCACAGTCCTGATGAGATCTTTAGCTGATTTCTTGTTAGCTCAAAGGGGATTGGTTATTATTATTCACTCTAACTCTGACACCCCACTGACCCAAGGTCAACCCACTTTCCCTGGCACTCTTACACCTCCGACTCCAATTACAAAGCAGCTGTAGGGAGGTGGCACAGTAGTTGTTCCATATCAGCAAGTGTTAACAGTTCTGTATAATAGCATCTATGATTGGCTACTATATCCTTAAAGTAGGACACTTTTGTGGTATTTGTCAGCTAGGCCTAAAGGCAGGATGTACTTGAGATCTTTAACTTTTAACATGCTATACCATGCTGACTTGTGAGGCAAGTTTACTGCTCACAGAGATCAATGTATGATACTGTGTATGTACTGTGGGCTACAGAAAAGTTACACAAGGCAGGAATTACATCCGAAGTATACAAGGGGTTACGGTAGTTAATACATATGCAATCAATTATTTTGTGGTTTATATTTTCACTTAAAGGGGCACTTCAGCAATTTTGAATAGCAATGCCATAAAGTTAGGGAACTCACAAGAGACATATTTGTAAAAGAATGATCATAATCAAAGAAGAGATATTTGTAATATAGTCTTTAGTATTGGTGAAACTCCAAAAACAATGGATTGTACTAACTATAATGCAACTGATTAGCATATTTTATTAGAGTCCTTCCTCCTCTTTCAAAACCATACAGCTCCAGTTTGTAATGTAGGCTCTCTGTTAAAAATTAAGTCAAGCACAAACAAACACGTGCGTACAAGAGAAGAAATACATATATGAGCAGAGAAAGCAGAGAAGGCAGAGAAAGCAAACAGCAACCAGGCACCCCTTATAATTGAAGAAAAGCCACCTAAAGAAGTGGGGTTTTAAATCAGCATAGCACACCACACATGAGAAGACTGTGAAACGCTTCAGTTATTATATTGTATGACAAGCGTTTTGAAGACACTTTGGTGTTTTTCAGTCCTGTTGCTCGCCATTAAAAAGACCATGTGTGCTCAAATAAAATGATTAGAAAACATCACAACTTGTCAGCTAACAGAGATACTTAACATGATGACTGGCTTGATGCCACATGTTTGAGGTTGAAGGTAAAAACTGTTAATCCATCTGATAAAGTAATACATGTTTGAAAACTAAGATTAAGAGTAATAATAGTGATTATAACTGTAATACAGTCTAATTTCAAATAATAGAGACAGCACCTTGCAGAAGTGTATCTTTCACTGGTGTTTATTTACACTGGGTCAAGGTAACAAAGGAATTAGTGTGATAAATATAGAAGAAAACCAAGAGAACATGACATTTGCGTAGTCCATAACAAGTTTGGGAGCAACCTCGAGGTAAACTAGTGCTGTTTCTCTCTGTGTCTTTTTCTCTTTTGGGTGGCCTTGCTTTCACTCAGGCAAGCAATGTGGTTGCAATGCCAGGAACCACTAAGCCATCTCTGGCCACACTGACTTTCATGTTATGCAACAGCTCCACCAGTGAGGGTCCACGTTAGACGTGCAAGCATCCAGTACCCCTGTTAGGTCTCAGCTCCTCCCCGACATTGGCCTGCATGGGAAGGAAAAACACAATAAGTTGCAGTCCAGACCAACAGGAATTCCCCCAGCCCCTGCCTTTGTGAGGCCAAATTATAATTAATCACAGGTTGAATAATTCAGCGGCGAGCATATAGATGCCTTTCCCAGCCCATTTCTCAGCACCTGCCTTAGGAGGCATCCCCAGAGCCTACATGTATGCATGTAGGTTATGTTTGTATGTGTGATTGGTGGAGTAGCTTCTCTAGGGCCAGTAAAAAGGGAAACACACAACCCCAAAACATCCAAACACAAGGCAGCAGTAAAACCTCCACCCTACAATCCCTATGAGTCAGCCATGACTCGCAGAGGCCCCTTGATCCGCCTCTTCTCTTCTCCTTCATTCTCATCTTTCCTGTCCAATTCCTTAACATTTTGACTTACAGAAGAGAAATGGCACTTTTAAATGCATGAAGGAGAACTGAATTCCTAAAGGCGGGCGGGGGCTGGTTCTACTCAAATAGCTCTTTACCCTCTTTATGTCACTGATTGGGTCAGCAGGTTGGAGGAAATCCATGTGATAGTGGGAGACAATGGGGGGCATGTGGCAAAATCATTGATGCTAAT